TCAATTTTTTCACAAAAAGAAGCCATGTAAAATTGGAAAGACACTCTAGGACTAGGCAATTTGTGGCACTTGTCCATAGATATATGACTTTCAGAATCATGGAGGAGTGTGCTTAGATTTCCCACTGTGCAGTTTTACTGCCAATTGTGGAAAACATATGGCTGTGTCCAGCTGCCAGTACCGTTTGTTTTTTTTCAGGATCCCAAAAAAATAACTTGATATGTTTCCTTCTTATTGTCATTAAAAGCTTCCATCTTTATCTCAGTAAGGAACCTGTAGTTTTCTCCATTGCTTGAAAGGGTAGATTTGCTAGATCCCATGCTCATCTAAACATATGGGAGACATGACGTTTGGCCAGCGAGAAGTTGCAAGTTCAACGTTTCAAAAGACTGTGGCTTTCAAAAGACTGTTAAAATCTTCCTCTTCACCACTAGTTGGAAAGGAGTGGTTTGTTATTTTCAGTCACTAAGTCATGTCTGACTCTTTGCAACCCCATGGACTTCCGTCTTCTGGAGCTTGCCAAATTCATGTTCATCTTCTCATCTTTCCTTATCACCCCTCCCCTCCCACTTGTGACTGTATGACTGTAACTTTGCCATTTGTATCCTTACGATTTATATTGACTGTTTCCTAGTATAATTTGATTGCTTATTGTACCCTATGACTATTATTAAGTGTTGTACGTTATGATTCTCAATTCTTGACGAATGTATCTTTTCTTTTATGTACACTGAGAGCATTTGCACCAAGACAAATCCCTTGTGTTTCCAGTCACACTTGGCCAATAAAGAATTCTACTCAATTCAATTCTATTCTAAAGTCACTTTCTTCAGTGCCATCGTAACTTTGAACGGCCATTAAATGAACTGTTCTAAGTTGAAGTCTACCTGTACAGGTAAACTGAAGATCACATTTTGTTTCAACAATTTTCTTAAACGATTTCCATGTTCTGTGGGGCAAAAATATGTAAGGGGGTGGTCTGAAGAAGGATTCTTTCAAAAGTCCATCACTTCTTCTGCTGAAAATTGTTAAGCTATTAAATTTAGTAGCTGGGACAGTCAAGTGTACGATGGGCTTGGGAATACGATTGTGGTTGATGGGTTGGAGAGTACTGGCTCCTGAGTGAGGCAATCTGTGCTGTGATTGGCTGGTGTGGGTGAAATGGGGGAGGGTCCCTTTTTTCCCGCCGTTTTTTTCCTGCCTACTCTGTCGATTGTTTGATTTTACCTCATGATGTTCCTTTGCTCTGACTATCAAATGTAAATTAAATATATTTATTGATATAAAATGACACATTTGTGTCAGTTTCTCCCACTTCATTTGGACAGCAGCTGCGCAATTCCTCAACACAAAATCTGTGTTTGCAGCTTTCGAAAGGATGCCCTTCAAACAGATTGCCTGGACTCATCCCATCTCTCAATGTTTTTCCAAGCTCTGTGAATCACAATGCATTGGAAGCCAGTTTGAGAAATTCTCTTTTCTTCTTCATCTCCACAGCTGAATGGAGAAATGTATAAAATTTTTGCTTTTTCTCCCCAACCTAAAGGCCCCTTGGGTTCTCTATATATTTAACACATGTGTATCACTGCCCATCTCATATATAGGACTCTGGGTGGCTAACAATTAAAACAAAATAAGAACAGGGTTAAAAAAAAACCAGAACCAATAATTAAAAACATAAATAACATAGCAGCGAAAAAGCAACCAAGAACAATGGCAACATCTCTGTTGGGCACATGCAATTGGAACCACTGGTGAATAAGCCAAAGTAGATTTTTTTTTGTTGATCACCTATATTAGTAATAGTAATGGAGTTGGAAGGGACCTTTGGAGGTCATCTAGTCCAATCCGCTGCTCTCGCAGGAAACCTATATTATTTCTGATAGATGGCTGTCCAGGCTCTTCTTAAAAGCCTCCAGTGTTGGGGCACCCACAATTTCCAAGGGCAACTTGTTTCACTGGTTAATTATAAGAATGTTAGCAGATATTCTTATATTACAAGAATGTGGCCAGACTGTTTTATGTTCTAAACTGGAGCCAATTCACCAAAAAACAGTATTTTGGACAAAATTGTTCTAAAGGCAGGTTCTCTTCAGGATCCTGTTATCAATGTGCTAAACCAGTGTTTCCCATTATTTGTTTTGTGCTATGCTTAACTATGCAGGTGGATGTTTTTATTCTAGGTGTGAATTCAGCATTCCAAGAGATGTTAGAATGTTGGTCTGCAGCCCATTTGAGACATGTTTTTGAATTGAAGGCAGCAACCCTCTAAAACACAGGGCAATGGGAATCAATGTAGCTTTTACATTAATTTATATAAGGTAACAGAAAGTGCCAGCTCTGGGGCAGGTTTAAAAATAGGTTGATTTTGAGAATATGAAGGGTTCTTTTCCTTGGTTTCTGAGCAAAGTCAACCAGATGAAAACTATGAGTAATTTTTTTTAAAAGAAAGAAAACATTATTCCCAAGCAAGACTTCATGGATGTTACAGATCAGGAATGGAGTATCTACACTGAGCATAGAAAATTATAAATGTAGCTCTTGTGTTACAGGGTAGAAGTGGGGAATGGAGGGGGAGAGGGAGAGGGAGGGAGGAGGAGGAGGAGGAGGAGGAGCAGGATGGGGAGAAGAAGAAGAAGAAGAAGAAGAAGAAGAAGAAGAAGAAGA